CTCTCTCTCTCCTCTCTTTCCCTTCTCTCCCTCTTCTCTCTCTTCCTTCCTTCCCCCTCCTCTCTATTCTCCTCTCTTTTCCATCTCCTCTCTTTCTCTCTCCTCCTCCTCCTCCTCCTCTCTCCTTCCTCTCTCTTCCCTCCTCTTCCTCTCTCTCTCTCTCTCATTCCCTTCTCCCTCTCCTCTCTTTCTCTTCCTCTCCCTCTCCTTCTCTCCCTTCCTTTTTTCCCTCTCCCTCTCTCTCTCTCTCTCTTTCCCCCCCTCTCCCTCCTTTCCCACTCTACCTCTCTCTTTCCCATTCTCCCTCTCTCTCTCTCTCTCTTCCCCTCTCCCTCCTCTCTCTCATCCACTTCCTTCCCTTCTCTCTCTTCTCTCTTCCCTTCTCCCTCTCTTCTTCCCTCTCTCTTTCCCTCCCCTCTCTCTCCTCTCTCCTCTTTTCCCTCCCTCTCCTATCTCTCTCCTACTTTTCCCTCTTCCCCCTCCTCTCCTCTCTCTCCTCCTTTCCCTTCCCTCTCTCTCGCTCTCTCCCTCTTCTCCCTCTTCCCTTCTCTCCTCTCTTCTCATCTCTTCTCTTCCCTCTCCTCTCTCCTCTCTCTCTTTCCCTCCCCTCCCTCCTCAATCTCTCTTCCCTCTCACCCTCTCCCTCTCTCTCTCTCTTTCCCTCTCCCTCTCTCCTCCTCTCCTCTTTTCCCCTCTCCCTTTTCCTCTCTCTTCTCTCCTTTTCCCCCCGCCACATCCCCATCTTCGCTCTCTAACTCTCTCTCGGGATCTCTGGATCTCACACTTTTCTTTTTCTAGACTTCTCCCTCTCTCTCTCTCTACCTTTTCCCTCTCTCTTCTCTCCATCCTCTCTCTTCCCTCTCACCTTCCTATCCTCCTCTCTTTCCTCTCCCTCTCTCTTCTCCTCTTTCCCTCTCTCCTCTCATCTCTCTCTCTCTCATTTTTCCCTCCACCTGTCTTCTCTCCATCTTCTTTCCCTCTCCCTCCTCCTCTCCTCTTCACTGTCGCTCTCCCTCTCCCCCCTCTCCCATCTAATCTCTCTCTCTATCTTCTCTCTTTCCTTCTTTCTCTTCTCTCATCATCTTCTCTCATCTTTCTTGCGTCTCTGTCTTTCCCTCGTCCTCCGTTTCCGGCTTCTGCGGCTCCCGCCCCTGCCCCGGCCCCGCCCTCTCTGTGCACCTCCTCCAGCAGGCTCCTCTCGCGACTCCTCCGCGGCGCTCCCTACGCACGTCTTCACCCCCTACCCCACCCCGACGTGCCCGGAATGTGGGGATCGATGGGTCGAATGCAGAAGGGACCTCATATTGATCTGCAACCTGCATGCTTGCAAGGAGAATGTGACGCAGATGCATTTAGAGGCTTGTGGCAATTAAGCACGCGGGGCCATTCGTGGGTCGCTTGCAGTGTGCCCGCCGCCGCGCCGCGCACATACAAACACACGCACCTGCCTCTCCCGCAGCAGCATCTGCTCTCTGGCATGAGTCGCGCGAAAAGGCAACGATCAGCTGTGATTAATTATTGAGGATGATTAAGCTAATGAGGCCCGTCCTCATTACCTTGGCCGGCGGCAGAGATCGGATGCGTGAGAGGAAGGGAGAGCAGCCACAGTGGCGGGCTAAAGGGGTGCTGCTTGCGGCGCCGGACGCAGGCTCCTCTGGGCTCAGGGCTTGGCCGCCGATGTCAGCTTCCGCGTCCTCCGAGTTGGCTGACGGAGGCGAAGCGGAGCACCTGAGTCCGCACCAGCATCCTGTTGTCGCGGGGCTGGAAGGCAGGTAGATACGGTGCCCTTATTGATCACGATGAATTATGCACGTAGTCCCCATAGCCCGAAAAAGACTCCTCGCGGCCCTTCCTCATCTGCTCCTCTTCCCCTTCCTCTCTCCCTCGCGACCCCCCCCCCCCCCGCTCCGGCAAACCGTTCCGAAAAATCCGGTTCCGTTTCTCAGAATTGTCCCAGAGTTCAGGTGGCGCGCCTTCGGGATGGACCCCCTCTTCGCAAGTGCCCGAGGCGACCAGAGCAGGAAGGAGAAGAAGAAAAACGAAAAAGGGAATGAGGAGTGAAGAATAATTATTCCCTCTCCCTCTCAAATCACCGAAATTCGCACAGAGATTCCGTTCCTGTCCTTGCCCGAAGCCATTGTGCTGTGCAGAGGAAACCATTGTTGCTGTGTTTGCGGATTGTCTGAGCAAGGGAGGCTGCCGCAATCAGGGGAATCAATCGAGTCTGATCGCTGCGTGATGTCGAGGGGAGTGACCCGCTCTCTCTCCTCTCCTCTCCTCCCGTCCCTCCTCTCTCTCCCTCTTCCCTCTCTCCTCTCCTCCTCTCTCCCTCTCCTCTCCTCTCTCTTCTCCTCTGCTCCTCCCCTCTCCCGTCTCCTCTCCTCTCCTCTCCTCCTCCTCTCCTCTCCTCCCTCTCTCTCCTCTCCTCTCCTCTCCTCTTCTCTCTCTCTCTCTCTTCTTCTCTCTCTCTCTCTCTCCCTCTCCTGTCCCTCCTCTCTCTCTTCACTCCACTCCTCACTCTCTCTCCTCTCTCTCTCTCTCTCCTCTCTCTCTCTCTCTCTCTCTCTCTCTCTTCTCTCTCTCTCTCTCTCTCTCTCTCTCTCTCACTCTCTCACTCTCTCACTCTCTCACTCTTCTCTCTCTCTCTCTCTCCCTCTCCTCTCACTCTCTCCCTCACTCCCTCTACTCTCTCCTCCTCTCTCTCCCCTCTCCTCCTCTCTCTCACTCTCTCCCTCTCTCTTCTCTCTTCCCCTCTCTCTCTTTCTCTCACTCTCCCCCCTCTCTCTTTCTCTCACTCTCCCCCCCTCTCTTTCTCTCATCCCCTCTGTCTCTCTTTCTCTCACTCTCCCCTCATCTCTCTCTTTCTCTCCCTCTCCCTCTCTGCTCCTTACCTCTTTCTCTCACCTCCTCTCTCCTCTTTCTCTCACTCTCCCCTCCTCTCCTCTTACTCTCACTCTCCTCTCTTGCTCCCCTACCCTCTTTCTCTCACTCTCCCTCCTCTCCCTTCTCTCCATGCTCTCCTCCCTCTCACTCTCCCCTCTCTCACAACTCCCCTCTCCCCTCACTGCTTCTTTTTCTCACTCTCCCTCTTCTTCTCACCTGACACTTTCCCCCCCTCTCTTTCTCTCACCTCCCTCTCTCTCACCACCTCTCCCTCCTTTCCCTCTCCACACTCCGCTCCTCACTCTTTCTCTCACTCTCCCCTCTCTCACACACCACTCTCCCCTCCCTCTCCTCCTCTCACTCTACCTCCTCTCCTCTTCCCTCTCCTCTCTCTCTCTTTCACAACACTCCCCCTCCTCACTCTTCTCCATCACCCCTCCCTCTCTCTCACACACATTCTCCCCTCCCTCTCTCTCACACACACTCTCCCCTCCCTCACTCTTTCTCTCACTCTCCCTCTCTGTCACACACACTCTCCCCTCCCTCTCTCTTTCTCTCACTCTATCCTCCCTCTCCCTCTCTCTCACACACACTTTTCCCTCTCTCCTCTCTCGCTCTCTCTCTCTCCACTCCTCTCCCTCTCTCTCACACACTCTTCCCCCTCCCCTACTCTTTCTCTCACTTTCTCGTCTCTCCCTCTCTCTCTCACACACACCTTCCCCCTCCTTCCTCCTTTCTCTCACGTCTCCCTCCCTCTCTCTCACACCACTCTCCCTCCCTCACTCTTTTCTCTCACTCTTCTCCCTCCCTCTTCCTCACACACTTCCCTCTCCTCACTCTTCTTCTCTCCTCTCCCTTTCCTCTCACCTCATACCCTCCCCTCTCCGCCTTCCTCCCTCTCTCTCACACACTCTCCCTCTCCCCTCCCTCACTCTTCTCTCCCTCTTCCCTTCCTTCTATCTTCACTTTTCACTCTCCCTCCCTCTCACACACACTCTCCCCTCCCTCTCTTTTTTTTCCCTCGCCCTCTCTTCACACCACTCTCCCCTCCCTCACTCTTCTCTCACTCTCTCCCCTCCTCTCCCTCTCTCCTTCACCACACTTTCACTTCTCCCTCCTCCCTTTCACCCACACCACTCTCCCCTCCCCTCTCCTCTTCTTCTTTCATTCTTTCCTCCCCATCCTGCTCTCTCTCACACACACTTCTTCCTCCTCACTCTTTCTCTCACTCTCTCCTCCCTCCCTCCCTCCCTCTCTCTCACACACACTCTCCCTCATCGCACACACTCTCCCCTCCCTCTCTTCTTCTTCTTCACTCTATTCTCCTCTCTCTTCTCCTCTCACCACAATCTCCGCCTCTGCACTTCTTTCTTCACTCTCACCACACACTCTCCTCTCTCACTCTTTCTACTCTCACTCTCTCTCACACACCCTCTCCCCCCTCACTCTTTCTCTCACTTTCCCTCTCCTCTCACCACCCACTCTCTCCCTCCCCTCTTTCCTCCCTCTCCCTCTTCTCTCACACCACAATCCCTCTCTCTTTTTCTCACTCTCCCTCTCTCTCACACACACTCTTCCCTCCCTCACTCTTTCTCTCCCTCTCCCTCTCTCTCACACACAATCTCCCCTCCCTCACTCTTTCTCTCACTCTATCCTCCCTCTCTCTCACACACACTCTCCCCTCCCTCCCTCTTTCTCTCCCTCTCCCCTCCCTCTCACACACACTCTCCCCTCCCACACTCTTTCTCTCACTCGCCCTCTCTCTTTCTTTCACTCTCCCCTCCCTCTCACACACACTCTCCTCTCCCTCACTCTTTCTCTCACTCTCCCCTCCCTCTCTCTCACACACACA